TGGGAAAAAAACGAACAAAATTAAACTGAATTTAAGTTACAAGCTTTGAAATTTCGTAATCGCGACGCAATTTCTGCAAATTAGTTGTCTGAGCGAGTGCGACGTCATATCGAATAATCAACAAGTTATTTATTACAACTATTAAAAAGAATTATTTAAATGATTCCTATTTCGTATTGAGTGAATGAAATTCCATTTTTCCAAATTCTTAGCTTACTACGTTCCTTTTATTAGTTTCTTCCCGAGGTATATGAATTTTTGTTCCCATCCCCAGATGGCAAACCATTGACGTCTCTACTTACTTGTATTGTTGTATATATGGTTTGCCAACTTCTACCCTCAAGCAGTTGTGGGAAGATTTCCCAGAAAATTCGCCTCCCCCCCCCCCCCAGATAAGTTCACAATATGCGCGCCAGAAAGGTTTATGTGCGCAGTGCGGCAGATGTCTCTCCAAAGGTTTCGTCCCGTAAAATTCGCCATAAAAAAAATATTATGATATGGATATAGTATGCAGAATTTCACCACTTGTTCTACAATTCATAGTCACAATACAAGAACGAGAGAGAACTTATATATTCCTTTTAAGAGAATATCAAAAACTCAATCTATTTACATTTCTTATAAATTATACAATAAATTGCCATATAATTGGCGCACACTTAATGAATTCAGTCTCAAAAGTAAAATAAAAAGTTATTTGCTAAACAATCCTTTCTACCACTATGAAGAATTCTTAAATAGTACCATCTGTGATAAAGTGTGATAAATTTGTTTAATGTATTCTATGTAGTTTGTCATATCATATTATATTGTCCATGTTTTTTGTTTTTTACTTTACACAACTGTTATATTTGTACCTATATACTTATACTTTATATATTTTTTTTTTGACAATTGTAAGTACATCTTGTATAATAACAAGCAAATATATATATTATATATTATTATATTATATTATATTATTATATTACATTCCTGGATTGTTTTTACGAGAGCTGGGTTGGTATCGATCTACCATCGATCGCGGTACTGTAAGACGATATGGTGAAGTTCTTGATAACAAATTTTCACTGGGAGCTAAGATACGTCCTGAAAATTTTCCGAAGGCGAATCTTCTGGGAGCATAAATACCCCGGAATGTACCGGCTTAGCATTTACAAGGGTTGAATCCCGACTTGCCTTAAATAAAATAGAGTTTCTACAGCACCGGCAAAAATTGTAATGTGGCAGTTTTTATTTTACCCTCGGGCTAAAAAACATACAAAAAAATGTAATGCCTATCTCGTGATCACGTGTCAATGCCCTTATCTAAAATTCATATCTTTACATAAAAGTCAGGAAAATGACACATTACTGGTTAGGAAATATTGAAGTACAAGGCCCCTTTGGAGCCGAGTACTTTAATTTTCGAGTCAAGTAATGTCATTTTACTGACGAGTTTTGTATTAAATTTTACTTGAAATCGTATTTTAATATAATTTTTCAATTTTCATATACAACTTTTGTTTATGGCAATCTGTCAATTATGATAGGAGTCATTATAGACATTTAGCAATGTGACAGGTGCGGCAGGATAAGTGACAGGTGCGGCCGGTAAAGTGACAGGCGGCAGGAAAAGTAGACTGGCCTGCCTTCGTCATAAACACTAACATTTTCCTGACATAAAGTAGGCATGAAAATGAACCTTTCATGACGATTTTGGGTAAAATAAATTACTGATTCATTATTCTGTTCAAAACACATCTCGGAATGCCAAACAAAATTTTCATCCAACCAAAGGACTTATTATTGAAATTAAATGCAAATTTCCAATTTACGAAACAAAATAACCAAAAATCCTTTGTTTGAATTCAATTTTTATCACTAAATCTGTTTCTTGCAAATAATTTTCATGGGTCGATTCCTTCAAGAATATTAAAAATATTTCGAACAAAATTCCGACTACTACGTTATACAAATCAAAAAATGTAAATTAATTTACAGTTATTGACGTGGGTAATATTTCCTTCTGGTAAAAAAATTGACCTCTCTTTGAAAAATGCCGCTTTCTTCGTGATGAATGCAAAATTTTCGGGAAAAAAGGTTTGTATGAGTCGCGAATCCAAGCAAATTCCCGAAACTAATAGTCGAGATCGTGATTACGCACGGGAATAAAATGCCAATGTTCCGCTGTTTTGATATTAGTTTTGTCGAATTAATTAGATTTTTCTGCTGTGAGTAAAGGAACCGATTGTCCTTAAATTCCCTGCTGTATATCAATATTCTTACGCGATCGCTCTTTAAGCTAAATCGAAGAATAATTTCAGCGCGCTAAAAAAGGATACGTGCTCGCTGATGGTCTAACTGAAACTGCATTAAAAAATCACCGCGCTACGCTCTCTCTTCGCACACTCTTATTGAAAAGGTACACTTTGTTATCGATCTTCTTCCAGACACACTTTATCATGTTCGCTATGAAGCGGTATATTTGTAAATTTGTAAAATATAAATTCAAAACTAAATTTTTGAAACGACTAAGCGACCACCCGTTACAGAACGCCAGTTTTTTGGAGCCAAATTTTCGGCGTCCGAATTTTCGGATGGAGAATAGTTTGAGGGAGTATTTTCTAAGGAAAATTCTTCCGCTGGTGAAAAATTTTTCTGGCGCGAATTTTAATTGGGAGAATCCTCCCGAGGCGAATTTCACTGGGAAGAAACTTGCGGGATCGAATTTTCAGGGATGAATTTACCGCACACGACCCCCACGCACCATTTACAAATTGAAATAGTTTTCCTAACTCAGCAATACTACATTTTAATGGGGTAGGAATTTCAGTTCTTACCGCGAATTGTGCAATAGCGTCGAATTTTAGGACGCTGCTCCCTTTTGTTCGTGAGATGAGAGTAGGTAAGCAACTATTGTTCTGCCTCACTTTGACCTTGAGAACTGAGTTCAAAGTCATTCGATTCGGTTCTGTTTGTGGACAGGTCGGTTAAACCAATCTGATTCTGTTAAACCGACCAATTTCTCTGAACAAAGCTGTTCTATTTAATTGACTTGTTTTTGGTACAGACTCGTTTCTGCTCAACCAACCTGTTTCCACCGACAAACAGAACCGAATCGAATGACGTTGAACTTGGCGCATGCGCAGATCTCAAAGTCAAAGTAAGCCAGAACCGGTGTTACTTATCTACTGATAAGAATTTTTGAATTTTGTTGCTGATCTGATCTAAAATTAGAATCGTCTAAACTTTCATGCAGTTGCGCTGCTATATGTTCTTAAGTTTGTATGGATGATTTCCATGGTATAAATTTTTGTTTTTGATTTTTAGCTGCGTCTTCAATTAAACAAATCGCATTTTTACTTTGATTCCAGTATTTAAAGGAACGCCACTTCCATGATAAAATAATCTCCTTCGGGATTTTTCAAATTAACCTCCAATTACAATTAGACTTCATAACGCCAGCTTCGATTGAACGCGCCAAACATCCCCACTTACGCCGTAATAACGCGCAATTTTTCGAAACACCTTATCTTCTAAAAGGGATAAGAACACGTGCGTTAAATAAATTTTGTCTGATGAAAACTTCTTATCGCAAACGACCAGATGTCTCTACGTTTTAATACGCAATTTATAAATAAATACGCAAATCTAAGTAAACAATTTACAAAAGCCATCAAATTTAAACAAAGAATTGCGCAATTACAAACAATTCCAAAAGGAAAAACAGACACTGAGATACAGATTCTAATAAAATAAACCAATTCTGTGCTTATTTCGTAAATAATCTACCAGATGTACACTCAATAAAGTGAAATATTGTCATATACAGGGTGTCCCGTCACAATTTTTGTTGTTAAAATAGATATTTTAATGTCTACGATGTGTTCCCAATGACTTTTACAAGGAAGCAGGACGCAGTTTTGTACAAAGATGCGGATTCGATACGTCGCAATTGAGAAGTATTTGACACAGCCACGGCAAGAGATCAAACAACCAGCGCAGTTAGTAATCGTCCTAATTCGGTGTCAAACGTTTCAGAATTTAAGCGCGGCCTTTTCAAAAGCAATAGCACCTCAATTGAATGAGATTTTCAATATTAGGTACCTATATAAGATCATAAAACTTAATTGGTAATTAATAATTTTGAAATCAATATTCTATCGCCGGAGAAAATTGTTTGGGAACTCTAAATTCTATACCATACGCTATTTTTACTTTTACATGGTTACTTTCTTTATCACAGGGTGCAGCACGGTCACAGACTGCTTATCTAATCACGTGTTCCATTAAGAAATAGAATATCTCATCAATATTTTTTTTTCAATATAAAACCTTGTATTATGTTATATATTATTGATCACCTTTCTCTGATAGTTTTTTTCTGAAGTTTATGTAGGTGGGTACATCTTTGATTGACAGAATGATAGAGTTCGGTACAAATTAAAAGGAGAACAATCACTTATACAATAAATAGTTTGTGCAATAACGCCATTTGGTACTAACAAATTTCCCTTTGTTTGGTTATCAAGCGCAGAATAAAAGGAATGTTACTGGACTTAGAAGCTGACCTTTAATTCACGATATGTGTTTGACAGGTTTGAGAATGATTTTTTTACGGCGTTCCCAAACAATTCATTGTTATCACGTCCACAGTTTAAGGATTAAGAAAATATTGAATGATTCATTCACAGTCTTGTATGGCCATAAACGTAGACAGTGTAGGAAATTGTATTATAAAATTTAACAAGGCCCAAGAATTATAGGTTGCGAGTAGTGCATTACTCACAATCAGATTTTAATCGAAAAATGGTCGATGTGTTTGTCAATGTTGAATTTGTTGGCTAACACTATCAACGGAAAATATCGTGAAGCAGGAGCCGCTACGCCCACTTTTGCTTGTTCCACTCGGCCATTTAAACCTACGCTTCTTTTTCATTCCCATTCGGTTTTTGTAACGTTTTTATTAATGTCACCCTTCATTTTGTTGAAAATAAGCCGAAATATACTCATTGCAGATTTAAATTCAGATTACTTGGACATGTCGTTCGGTCGATCGCCCGGAGGACCTGGAATGGGATCTAACCAAAGGACGAAAAGGATGAGGACGTCGTTTAAGCACCACCAACTTAGAACAATGAAATCCTACTTTTCAATTAATCACAATCCCGACGCGAAGGATTTAAAACAATTATCACAAAAGACTGGATTGCCGAAAAGAGTATTGCAGGTAAGATACAATATTTATGTTGTAGATGTATTAATATTTATTAAAAATCTATTTTATGTTCGTACCAATCCTATAAACGTCTACTTGGTCTTTTCCACTTGAAATATTGGAGTTACGGGAGTAATCGTAAAGTCTTAAGGCCTGGGGCGGTAGTAACGAGGGCCCAAGATAAACAACCTCACTCGACTGAAAGATTTTAATAGGCCCAGTTTTTACAGCTAGCGGCGTTTCAGATGGTGCACCAATTGTTTATCAATGAAAAAAGGCTGAATTTGCGCACTTTCGAAATTTTCGCATCGACTGCACGTCGACGAACTCATCGCGGGCGACGCATCCGCGAAGGGCGCAAAGAAAAAAAATAATTACTTAGACAAAGCGGAACGCGGCGAAATTTTACTTATGGAATATTAAATCAATACGAGAGCAGCATATTCGAGCACGCCTTTTTAAACCCACCCACCCGCATCTTCAAATAAAATAAATCAGTCTACCCTCGTGGATGCGGTCCAATTACTCCATATCCCCCAGAGAGGGTTTTCTTCCAGTCGCCATTTTGTCAGTGTCAACTTTCAAGTAAAAGAAAAACGTGAAAAATTTACGGCGCTTGAGCTTTACGGATCCGGATATTTTTTAGTGCCAAATGAACCGAGATTTAAATTCATTTGCCTTATTAACGTACACTTTCCATTACTCTAAAACTTCATATACACGCGTGAGTTTATTATCTTCGATTGATTTAATTTCTGTGAATATTTGTATACTGAAACTTTAAGTTTTAAGCTCGTTTTAAGCTGTTTAACTCAGATCTCCTCTTCTGTCACTGAAAATGCAAGACTTACTATATGCGTTGTAGTATACAATTACCTTCAACGTCAAAGGTTTTTACAGTTTCATTCGTTTTGCCTCCCTACAAATGATGAAATCGCAAAGGCGGCATTTTTAGAACAGCTAAAAAAAGTTCAATTCTCGTTTCTTTGAATAAAGCTTGCGAAGTAAGCGAAATTAAACGAAGTATAGGTTAATCCTAGAAAAATTGGACTACACTAGTTATTGTCCACGCATCCCTCGAAGCAAGCATCCGAAAATCCCGGAAGTAGGTAGGTACTTTATTTGATTTTCGGAGTCCGTTCACTTAGCCCCCCATTAGCCCAATAATTAACCAATGTTGTTATCTACTGTGCCTCATTTGCGCTCTATTGTGCATTTATGCTCACGGTTTGTGCCTTGTGCCTTTTTGGTTATATTTCTAAAATTCAAATGGGGGCTAAGTAAACGCATAGCCCCTTTTTTATACTCAAATCTTATACAACTGTACAAATTGACGAAGACCATTTTATTCACTGAACACGCAAGTTGATTGTTTAAAAAGTTAAAATTTTGCCATATAACAATAAAGGAAAAATTGCAGAGAATATATATTGGCTTGACCTTCATTCTTTTTTCAAAATATTTGGGTTAGAAAAGAGGCATACTTTTTAAAATGGTTCAGTAGGTCCTGGTTTTATTTGGATAATCTCTTGTTTTGACAGTTCGCATTAAAAATTGCATTTTGTGTTTAATGTTGTAATTGAAGGTTTAAATATGTAAATTGTATACGGTAGAACTATAACACTCTGTAGTCCGGTAACGAACTATGTTTATTGAATTTATTTTAGTTATAAAATTAGCCAAATAATTCCCCCCTTCCCTATTTACATCATATTTAAGAACACCCTCTATACGAAGGGACGACTAAAATTTTTATTTTAATCCAGAAGATGCATGTTGACCGAAACGAAATATCGGATTGAAAAAGTTCGAATACATAGTTAAAAAAATATTTAAAAATTCAGAAAAATTATAAAATCTCACCTAAACATTTGGAGGATAGGATAGACATTTCAGTAAAATTCAAAAAATTTAAAAAAATTAAAAATTAAAAAAGTTCCAAAAATCGAAACCCCCAAAAACATGCGCATAAAATTCAACTCTTTCTCACCGAGAACCTTTTGTTATATCCTCTGACGAATAGACAAACACGAGGGACTCGCGTCAAAAGATTAAAAAAGATCTTTACTGAATCTGTCCAAAATTTCCCCGAACCTTTTCTGAATTCATATGGAATTTTCCTAAATATTTTCTGAACTACGGAGGGGGCTGGGGCGGATTAAAAACTGATTTCATCTTTCATGGTACTCTAATAAAATGTCTCAGTAAAGTAAATCGTTTCTCTATACTTGATCGGCGTATCTTCTGATGAATCAAAACTTGATTGTTCTTGCACTATACAGGGTATTCTAATGTACATACGGAAGGGACTAATCCTTTCGCTGGTGTTATGATTAAAAGTTCATATAAACATAGATCCGCAAACACTTCGTTACCAATCTACAGGTTTCACGATTTTTTAAGTTTTTTTCTTTATATCTCCTGCAAATGCAAGATACAATTCCAAATGCGAACTGTTAAAACTAATAAAAACAAAATATTATCGAAATAAATCCAGGCCGTACGGGACCATTTAAAAATCTTTACTTTCATTTAGCTAACTAGAAAATACTACCAAAAGGTTTCTAAACAAATCAGAAAATTAATTTCATATTTTACAGTTTACAGTGGCGCGTTCAGGACAAAATGGAACAAGACAACTGAAAAAAACACCACCCTGTATATTCTTACTACCATTGATATGACTAACGATGTAAGCCCTTCAGCGTGACATATATTTCAAACACCCTATAGATCGGTAACGAAGCGTTTGCGGAACCTGTTTGAATATGGCCCTCCAATTTATATAAAGAAGCAAAAAATGTCGTTTTGAAATGGATTGCGCATCGTATGCATCCGTTTGCATTTTGATTGCGCGCGACCGGTTTCAATATTATGGGGGGGATCTCTTGAAACTGGGCACTTAATCACAGCCAACTCAGCGCTGCCCAAGCTGATCGTCTGTTTTTGCAGGCTGGCTATGGAAATGAGCACATGCAATGCGCAATCCATGTATTGCTTCCTAAAATTGTGAAGCCAGATTCACGCAGGTGTTCGCGGATCGTGTTTGGGAACACCCTGTATAACCCATATTTTGAATCTGTGCCAGACCTTTAAAAGATCCCATTCCTCATTCATCCTTTTCCCTTGGAACACACTGGAATCGTTTATGAATCCTGCATCGAATGGTGCTCCAAGGAGTTCTAACAGCGTTGCCGAAATGAAATATTCAGTAATAAATAGTTTGCGCTCGAGTTATGTTATAAACTATAAGTGATAAATAATAATTTTAATTGTAAACCACGTTACAGTATTTATGTCAGCAGAGCCAATTCCAGACTACAGACGATATTCATCGACAATAAATATTTCCGGAATGTTACATAAATCTTTCTCGATTCTATATTGAATTCCTTTTATCTCCGTAAAACCGAAAGCACTAATAACGGACAAAATGATCATCTGGACGAGACATATCTATAATTGGTGAAATCGAAGCGAATATCTTGAAAAGGAAGTGCCACGTGTCGGAAGCGGGCGTACTCATAAAAGGCAAGTGGAGACATATCTACTGGTGATGTCAAACTTTCAGTGCAAATATCTGCAGAACGGAATGTCGCTGGAGGGGCACTCTCAAAGGGTGGAAAGATCGTCTAGACGAGACACATCTATTGGCGATGTAAAAACTTAATTGTTAATATCTGTAAAATGTTGGAGGACAAAGGCAAAATGCTATATTTCGGAGAATTTCCCATCCGTCTGCCTGTCAATTCGGATGCGCGAGTATACATGATGTTCAGGTGGTCCCTCATATCTTTTAGTTGGTCAGTCTTAATTTTCTCCCATCCGCAGCTCGTCTAACAGACTATACAGGCTGTTTAATACATAACTGCACATATTTGCTCATAAATTCCGCAGGGAACATGGCAAGTTGCACTGTCTCGATAAATTAATGGTTCTTAGTACCATACGCTATCCACTTGACGGCTTGAGTTGGGTTGTTACCGAATCTAAACTGAAGTAGGTCGGCTCCATAGCACAATATTTCATTTCATCTTAGAAACTATCAACCGACGGACACTTTACTCCACTCCCTTTTTTTTCATTTTCAGATTAATTAATTTAATTCGTGTTTTATTCCCTGAACTGCAATTGCATTCTAATTACATCAAATTGACTCTAATTAAAATTGCTACCGCGGTAATTAAACATCAATCAAAATAATAACACATATGTAATAAAAATCATTATCACCCATTTAGGTGTTATACAACGTTCAATTGAACTAATTAAGATGTTTACCTAAATGATAAAATCAAGATCACCGAAGCAAAATGGCTGACTAGCCATTACTCTTTTCCACTACACTATAACAAGTTAAAAGTTATTACAAGATTTAAACATATTTAGGTAACTTAATGCTTTCGGAATGCGTAGGTGTTAAGGGCATTTTGTTGTTACGCTGCATTTAGGGTCATTTCGAATCCATTTCAGGATTTAAAAAAGGAATTTGCTAAATATTACCATTTTCAACTTATATTTATGCACTGGATTAATTGACCAATGTTACGCAGTTAACCTATGTAACCTAGAGTTTAACAGCCAGCAAAGCGCATTAATTCTTTAAACTTTTTTACCGGCTGCCGTTTAATGTAAAATTTATTAACACCCTGTATACACAAGAGAGGTGTACAGTTTTGATTCATAAACTTGTTTTGTATCGTCTACTCGCTCCAAATATAAACGCAATGGACGTTCTGCACCTTAGACCACAACGCTTTCATAGTAACGAACGCTAACCCAATAATGAAATAACACGCGTACATATTAAGAAAGTAACATATTCGCAATGTATTTACGGCTGAATCTAAATCAGACGTCCGCGCGTATTATTGGTTTTCCGCGTATCGGTAACTCACAATGAATTGATAATGCAACGACAACAATGATTTCGTCGAAATGGTGGCACAGTTTTCCTTTAAAATTCAGTAAATGACTTCACCTTTCACTATAAAATATCTTAACAAAATCTT